GACAATACATGTGATTTCATGAACTCTTGGGCCTTTATTAAACTATATAATGACTTATGCTTACATCAATTAGTGATGCCCTAGGCAGCACGGCCTAGTGGTCATGGCGCACCTTTCTTGCGCTGCCGTTCTTGTAATCCCATAGTTCTAAGACTTTATTACGATTTCAATTTCTTAAAATTCATTCCTAGTGATGCTTGTTAATTAAGACTTAAATACTGTAACAATGCCTTATACAATCTTTTCTCAGTGATTCATTGGCTCTATATGATACTGAGTCGCCTCACTTTTACCCATAATACCTTTCGGTCTAATCGAGTAATTGAAAGACCGAAAGACAGTATCTCAGTCTAGCGTTTCAATGATATTCTTGTTGTCCTTCAAAGTCCATCCAAAGCATGTTAATTTTTTCAGATATCTCACAATTTCGTTTTCATCGAACTTTTTCCCCTTTATTTGTTCATGCACAACTGGCTCCCCGCATATTTGCTTATTTACTTTCTTGCACTTCCAGTAGTGCGACCTCGCTTCTGCCTKTTGTTTTCATCTCGTTGTTTTCTTGCGACTCCAGCTGCGTTTCCGATTTCCGTAAGTGGAATTTTATTTTTGGATTGCCTCCACCTGTTTCTGGTATATTTTTACCCCGACTAAACTTTCTAAATATTTTATTGATTTCTGTTCTAAAATCTTGTTTCGTAAATGAATAGATGAATGGATTTATAAGAGAAGTTAATACTGCACTAGCTATGAATATTTGAATGGCTAAACTCGTATGAAATCCTGGGAGAAAGAACTTCCGTATTTCACGAACCGTTTCATAGAGAATAGCTGGAATCCAACTCAGAATATATAACACAGCAACTAATAGAAACATCTTGACTATTTTTGTTTCTTTTTTTTGTCGAAGTGTTATCGGTCTTCGTTGTGCTTCTTGAAGTTCCTGTATTCGTCGTTTTTGCTTTTTGATTCCCAAAAAGATCAGTAAATAAGTTACTGCCATGTATGCAAAAGGGACTAAAATAAACAAAAAGACAAAAAAMCGCTTTATCAAACGGAGAATCGACTTCSTAACCTTTGTAAGACGAAGAAAGTTAAGCAAACTAGCGCAAAAGGACGTCGACCAAACTGCGATGATTATGCCAGCAAACATTTTATGGATTTTTGTTTTGTACTGAAAAGGTTTAACGACTGCCAGATATCGCTCGTAGGCTACACCACAAAGGTTTAAGATTTCAGACATTGTAGTGAAAGTTATGGCAAATCGAATAAATCCTTTCAACTCTTCAGTTTTGTGCTTATCGTGAAAGTAGAAATTGGCAAGTGTCAATATAGCTGTCAGAGTATCTGAAATAGCAAGAGAAACCACAAAACCATTAACATGGGTACGAAGCCGCTTGACACTGATCACTAGTCCACATACTAGAACGTTAGCCAGCACAACCAAAATAGCAATCACTAAAACAATGAATCCGACAATATCATCGTTACTTCCTTTACGAAACATTGCTAGACGCGATGGATATTAGAACCGTAAAAATGTCGATCAGCCAATATAAACTGAGTACAGCATGCAGCGCCAGTGTTATACTGGAACTTTTCCCAAACCGCTTCCACACCGCCTAGTGGTATGACTTTTCCAATCTAGTTCCGCACTACTACTTCAACTTTATGGAATTTGTTTGGTAACTCCCTTTTCAGTGATTGGTTGAACAAGCAGTAGTTTACTAGGCTCTGTTTTAGCCACCTATCATTGTCCCTGTTCTGATGTAAAAGCAGCTGTAAGTACAATAAAAATAACACGCTGTAACTAAAGTGCTTGAGACGTGTAAGATGCACTTCGTGTTTCACAATATTTCTTTATTTTTGAAGTACTGCGTTACATCTTATGATGAATGACCATTAACCATGGGAACCGCATGTTACTAACAACGTCAAATGCTGGCATGGTATCTATGTGGTATAAACGGAAAACCGAGATTATTTTCTCAGTTTGTTTTTCATTTCAACTTTCATTTTTTTATATATTACGTTTGCGATTCTTGTATTTTTGATAATTTGAGGTGCATTTTAAAGCAAAAGTTCGTGTAAATTAGGAGAAGTGACCAGGGAAATGAATGAGACTAATATGTTTTCTTTGTACATAAGAGGGAAGTCTAACTTCCCATAGCACTTGACATTGAAAAAAAGCCGACAAGAATGTATGGAGTGTTTGCAGTAAATAATTTTTGTAGGAGACCGCTGCAAGCCAATCAAAACAATATAGGTTTCCTGTTGACATCAAACTTTTCAGATAATTACTGCTCGGGGTAAAACGCAAACGTACTTTTCGGTCRATGCATGGATAATATCAGGAGAGTGAGCTGCAGGGTTTTCGTAAGGGGAGCTCAAGATTTTTGAAGGTTTCAAGACCATGAACGACTGTTTTCGATTCATTCTAAACAAACTCTGGACTCTCCGAAAATGTGTTACTCGATTRAAAAGGCAAATGGGTCATATTTCAAAAACTTTGTCTACCAAGGAGGGGGAAGCCCTGGAATAACACCCCCCTCCCCCCTCCCCAAATTCACCCCACAAGCCAATGATTATGTTCTGATCTCTTGCAATGTGTTAACGAATGCTTGCCTAACCCCAATTAGTAATTAAGAAATTCTCACTCAACAACACTACATTYTTGACAGTCAGAGGTGAATTTTTGTGTAAACTAAAAGTTCCTGGACTTTATTAAAATACTTCCGTCTGTTTGCCTTACTAATAAAATATGCATCTCACTAAATTAAATATATCCTGGAATACGTTTAGTTTAATTTTTACAAGCCTACATCATTACACTCGTTCCAAGGTTATGCAATTAAAAGCAAGAAACACTCCAAGCTCACTCTCTTTATCTTGATGTCAAGTTTCAGTACCAAGGKCTGTCTTGTTTCTTTAGACTTTGAAGAGCAAGTCATTTCGAGTTTACCAAGCAATGTAATTCCAGTCTGGACCGTTATCAGTGTGATTAATGGGCTAACAGCTCCAGTGATATTCTTCGTCAATTGTTTCGTGATTTGCGCAATTTTTCAAGACGAACGCCTTCGTTCTACTAGTTATAACATCTTGATTGCTGTCCTTGCATTTACGGACGTACTGRTTGGTGTAGTTGTACAGCCAATTTTTATTTCATTATTGGCCTATCTATTGCTGGATTATTGGCCCTCATGCCATTTGACACTTGCTTTCAGTGTCTCATCATTGGTATGCTGTGGATGGTCTCTTGCTACCTTAACGGTTCTCTCAGTTGAGCGCTACTTGGCCATCCAACATCCTATATATTATTCCTCAAATATCACTTCATCGAAGGTACTTATTGCCAATACAGTAGGCTGGATTATTATGACTTTCACCCTCTTAATTTTTCGATTTAAGKCAGATGAATCTACCAGTGAAATCTCTGTGGCAGTCAATGTTTGCATTTGCTGTATAATCATCGTATTCTCTGTTGGTAAGGTCTTTCGAACAGCAAGGCAGCAAATGAAAGTCATCTCTGCTCAAAACGCTGCGAAAGTAGAAAAAACAAAGAGACAGTTAAAGGAGTGCAAGCGCTATTTCACTTTTCGGGTAATTCTATTCGCTACAGTGATGTTGTACTGTCCTTCTATAATCGTTAAGGCTATAACTTTATCCCTCGGCAAAGATATTACAGCAGACTTTAGATATGCTGGTAAATTTTGCTGGGTAACTTGTATCTATCTCCAGTCCTTTGTAAACCCACTAATAGTAGCCTTTCGACTTTCCTACATACGGAGAAAATTTCTCAAAAAATTTTATTTTGTTAATACTTTAGTGTTAGGCAAGTAACTGCTTTGATGTTTCACAGGATAACTGCTTTCGTTTGTGTTTTGGATAGTTTAGCCTTGGATCGCCAACAAAGGCGGTAATCAGCACTTAAGTAAGACTATCTCATCATTTACCCACGCGGAAGCGTACGCCGGRAAAGAAATAGCTACCTGGAGACTCCAACTTGCTGATTTTTACTAATACATTAGAAATTATAACTCAATTCTAATTTAATTTGTCGTACCGAGCCACTTATATCTATTACTGGGAAATAATCTTTTGGGAAACTTAATTTAAAGCACCTCTACAAATTTTCTTTTTTTACTTTCTTATCAGTGTAAATGAGTGAACATTTTAAAACGTTAGAACAACGAAACTGCACATTTTATGATAAATTTTCAGTACACGTTCTTTTTCGATTGACGATTGAAAWTGGAMTAACTCACTGTAAACAATTCACYCTTGTGTATCCTKGCCCAACCCCAGATTTTTCACRTTAAATTAAACAAATARATAATTAAAACGGATTGRAGCGCCGTCGAGTYATTGTTTTAATTKATYAGCAACTGATTGCATAAGAAACTGTTTTTCACTTCYATCAAGACTAGTCTCACAGTCAAAGGCTTCAGAGAAGCTGTTGATAAAATGTTCACTTGCTTCTTGCATGTCAATAGTTTGCTTGTTTTCTTGATAAAGGGAAGTGACTCCTTTTCCTTGTATGCCACATGGTACAATGTGATCAAACCAGCTCAGATCAGTGTTACAGTTCAAAGCAATTCCATGCATTGTTATCCATCGGCTTGTCTTTACACCTTTAAAAATTTCCATACAGCATAATAAGTACATTATACCATCCCTTGATGATAGTGATGAAATAAAATCAGTCTGCTACTGTTCCATAGCAGTTCTCATTGGATTATGAAGAAATGAGACGAACACGGGTAATAATGCCTGCATATTTTATATACTTCTAGAAAACGATGTCAAAAGACCGTCTAAAGATCGTTGATCGAGACATATTCGAAGGATTTATGAAAATCTTCATTAAACTTGCACTTGGGGAGTAAAATGTTGATAGTTCTAAACACATACCTATAGCAGCAATTTTCTTCTCTCCAACCCAAACCCCAGTGTCACAAGTAACGCCCGCATCAACACCATACTTTTGACAAGTTTTGATTAAGCTTGCCTCTAATTGTGCAACATACCATCGGATACTCTTTTTGAAATCCCCTAGATTTAATATTGGGTAGCAAACAAGTTGACCTGGTCCATGGAAAGTAATAAGTCCTCCTCGTCTTGTAGAATAAAACTCGGCACCAAGGGATTTAAGTTTGTTGATTTGTTCTTGATTTGTATGATTTCTAATACCAATCGTGTATACCGGGTCGTGTTCGCAAATTAGAATAGTATTTCTAGGTTTTATCGAAGAAKKGTCTTTTAAATAGTCTAAGTGTTGYCTTTGTAATGCTGTTTGAACCGCCAAGCCCTCAAGGTAAGGGATTTTACCCAAATACCTTACAAGTACATTCTTRGCAGCCATTTTGTTTTCGTGCTCGTTCYATTCCCTTGTGGTTCACACGGCTAAAGCAGTCCACAGGTAACCCAAATGTATAAAAAACAGTTACATAAAAACATTCGATAACATATTTCCCAATAATTCATTAAAAGGTCTTGTAAACAACTTTGCCAGAYTTGAAATGCATATRCTATAGTATTTATTGTGTTTCTGASCTGGGCYACTTTTTGGYCACGTTGTGGACATAGTTTGGCTGGGCTTCCTGTGTCATACCTAATTCCAATATGTCGGGAGATCATCAGCARAAATGCACTCATRTTATATTCGACGTAGATGGGCTTTTGCTTGGTATGTATGCAWTCATATTTGACACATCATTGCACTGATATTAGATTGCGAACGTTGATAATCATGTGCATTTTTGCACTATCACATTCAACTGTGTTTTAGTTAGGTCATATCTTAATAGTTAAGCTTAACTTAGTTCAAAGCTACCTATATGTGAACTTTGTTTCGCTTCTTTTATAGATACAGAATCTATTTATACAAAAATCTTTTCCTCGTTCTTGAAAAAGTACGGAAAAGAGTTTACMATGGAATTCAAAGTGCAGTTGATGGGCAAACCAGAACTTGAATCCTTGAAAGCTGTTCTTGAGGAATACCACCTTAGCAACGTGCTTACAGTGCAACAGGCACAGACTATTCTGAAGGAAAGAAAAGAAGAACTTTTTCCAGATGCACAGTTAATGCCAGGTCTTTAGGTTTTTCTCTTTTTTAAGATTTTCATTATTTTTATTTCGTTGCTGTTTTTGGGGGGGGTTTTTGTTGATAAGAAGGCTCCTCATTTTTTGCCATATGCATTTTCCAGCAGCTAAGTAAGTGTGTTTTTAATCTGCACAGGGGCTGAAAAGCTGATGCAACATTTTTTCAAGAACAACATTCCAATGGCACTTGCTACAGGCTCAGCAACTTATGAATTCAATTTGAAAATGGCTAATCACCAAGATGTACTGAAGATGATGTCACATGTYGTCAAGTCAGATGATCCAGCAGTCAAACAAGGCAAACCCCATCCAGATATCTTTCTAGTTGCTGCATCAAGATTTAAATCCCCTCCAGATCCATCAAATGTACTTRTCTTTGAAGACGCTCCTCATGGCGTTACAGCAGCTAAAGCTGCTGGTATGAATGTCATTATGGTACCTGAGGTATACGTGGATAGATCAAAATGTACAGAAGCAAGCCAGATAATTTCATCATTAGAAATGTTTGAGCCAAGTATATGGGGGCTACCATCATTTAGCTAATATTATACAATTATTATTCTGGTGTTACTGGTAGCGCACAAACAGATCATACCAACGTTACTCAGTGAGCAAATGATTCTTCCATCTCCTTTTACAAATCCTCTGCTTATTCATTATGCTATCAGACTAATTAAAAAATCTAATTCTTAAACGAATACTTAGATGTTTTTAACTTCAGTCTCTTTGCCAAATTGACTGCTGGCTATTAGCCTGATAAAACATGACATTTGAAATACTGTATTTCAGATAGAAGCTGTGTAAAATCCCAGTGAAAAACCAGATAATATGTAAAAATCTGCTTATTTTATAGAGTTATGTATGGGATATAAGCTATACAGTTGTATGAAATAAATACATATGTGCAGCAGTCATTTTGGCTAAGGGTGTAGTGATAGATTAGATTTTTACATGATTATTGCATAAAAAAACTAATGTGAGTTTATATTAATGCGCATAAAAACGCTTCAATTCATATTACAGAAGAAGAGACGACATCCAAATGACTCACAGTRGYCCCCACAGACTGGTATTTTCATATTCAAGGTTGTTTTTAAGGAATCATCAAATGAAGACTGAGAGTTGATTTTATATAACGTTATACCCATCGATCTCACGACGTTTTTATTGTTTGGACACTAATTTGGTCATATAATCTATTAAATGCTTATAGTGATAATAAAAAGATGAATAATCTAGCGCGCAAAGAGTTGTCCAGCRGTCCAAACAAAAGTAAAGTATTCACATTAATTTTGTCGAGAGACCATCATGTAACGTGGAATTTTCGACGAAACGGTGGCCATTTTGTTTAATGGCATTATTCCTTTATTTTTTTTTCAATTCACAAGAAAAATGATAAAAAAGGAATATTAAAAAAAGGATATTTGACAAATCCCAAAACTGTGTAGAGAGCATATGCATTATTGGGTGTCAAAGTAGTGACGAGTAGATATTAGTTTATAAAGAGAATTCTTGTGTATGAAATTAAAATTTCATTCCCATCGTTTTAATCCTCTTAACATAAGTCTATTTTAGTGAGCGCTAATTATATCACGGAAAGCAGCAGTTTCTATTGTTTCCCGCCCTATCGTGCATGGAAGCTGTCCATTCAGTACAGCTGAGACCGAAAGGTTACATGGGAAACTCATAACTGTAAAACCTCAACCTRGCTCATCTGGACCATTTTTCCTTTCTTCTCTAGTATCAATTAGTTTCATCTTCATGTCCCATGATTTCCTGTAGGACAATGGAGCGACAACGCTTGTCCCAGCACATACATTATAAGAMACCGCGAAAACCAAATGTGCGACGGCAAATCATTCTAAATTAGCTATTGAAAAATCTGAAACAATTTCAGTTGACATCAGTGTGAAAAGTATGTAGGCTCCTTTTTTTGCCTTAGAGATGTAATTGAAAAGCTCCAGTCGTTGACGTTTTGCTACGTGACTATTGATAGTCACACTGGGTAATGTCGCTTATATATTAAACTTGCCTCAAGCTAGAACAAACAGGCTCTAACTCTAGGAGTGACTCCTGTAACGTATTTAGTTAGTAGTGATCCCTGGGGTCTCGCTAGGTTTAATTCTTGTAATAATAAATTCACTACAAATAAACAATGCTTCGTTCCATTGAGGCAGCTAGCGTTGCTATGATACGTCAATTCAAAAAGAATGAGTGATATTGGGTAAAGTTGGCTCTTATAATGAAAAAAAGTTGACTAATCATGTTAAAGAGAATTTTTATAAAAGCTTGAACTTGTTATTCCTGTGGGGATGCGCTCACAAAGTAATGTCTGACATTTTATATGTGATCAGCTTCCATAGCCGAGGTATTTTTATCAAAGCCTTGCATTTATTATCTAATTGTAAGTTCAACAAATGTTTATTCAAAACCTATAAAACCACTTTAATTTCGATTAATGAATTAACTTTAGTTACTTTCAACTTCAAGGGTTTTTATTGCGYGTTTTGAGCGTTTTTATTCAGCCTRTATGGAGTCAAACTCCGACAYAGTATTGCAGTGGTGATTTTCAATTTACCAAACCCAGATGTAGGTGCCCAGGTGCAGTGGGTCAAATAGTGATCTCCCTCTTCGCATTGTAAGTCGCTTTTTTAAAAGGGGGAATASAAGAATAAACTACACAAGAATCTGTAAAACACACAAAGACAGATCATCACGTTGAAAAAGATGGACTGTGGCCGACGAAATGTGTCCTTACAGTTTCTAAGAGAAGACAACAAAAGGACATCAAAAAGACATTGAGAGGACAATTGCTGTTATCTTTATCATCTCTTGTACACGTATCGTTCGGTTTGGTGATAATTTTCAGATTATACTTACAAAAGAAAGACAATTTTTTGAGATAAGAACGTTTGTTTTCGCGTTTCGGTCATATAAAGCAGACTTTGACGACTATTAAGTGCTAAATGATTCCGCGGCGTCGGTACTTTTCTTGACTTGTTTGAAATTTTAACTTTAAGTCTTTTAATCTTATTTCGCAAGATCTTTAACACAAACAAAAGACAGAAAGCAAAACAAAGACTCTAAATGGAATTGTTCAGGGATTTTTTTGACTCGCCATTAGAGTTTATTAAGCATCGTCCAAAGTATTTATTCGACTAATGCTGGCATGTGTATCACGTTACTCACGCAATTCCACTAACTAGTACTTTAAACATACATCAGTCTCTCAAAATCTACTTCAAAATGTATTAACCATGTAAGAGAATCTTGAGCTTAAAGATTTTTTGTCTAAGTTGTTCAATTGTAAATGTTTTTCAGCAGGTTTTTTTGATGTCATGTCCGGTGATAACACTCGAAACAAATTCCAATTTTGGTGCACATGGTCAGTGTAAAGATAATACCGTTAAGTATGTTTGTTCTTTATTTACTAGTGTCTTGACTTGTTTGGACACCTATACGCTAAAATCATGCTACTATTGTGGGTGTAAAAATTGAATGTTGGTACAATTACCACATTTAGGCAATTATGTAAGAAAKAACTCAATCACTCCTATATGTATGAACAAGTACTGCAGATAAAGTAMAAGAAACATGCATTGAATTTATTCGACTTTCTATATTAATATATGTTTTTAAAGAGTCGTTCTCGAGATTCATATTTTTGTTTTCTGTATGCAAAGGATTTTTTTTCCACGCAGAGTGTTTTAGTTCCGATCAAGTGTTCCATCCGACAGAAGAATCCGACCACACTGGTTAGACTTACCGGAACAATGATCATACAGACATAGATCACCTTGAACTTTATGAAGTACTATATTAAAGTAAGTTTCTTGTTCGTGTACTGTTTCATACTTTCAATCTTGCTGTATAATAATTTTTTCCAAACAAATCATTCACCGTGAGTGTGCAGTACTGGGATTACTATATGAAGCATTGGGCTATTAGTGAATATTTTCAATGAATCAACATTGTTTACGTCTATGTCTTCCATTAAAGGCTTTGAAAGAATTTRAAACAAAGCAGAAATCCTCAATTTGCAGTTAGTAGATGTGGAGACTAATCGCACTTACAACTGGGTCATAWAGAAGGAAGTTGCCTTTCTATTGTGACCTCATTTCGAGTCACTTTCCCCTAATGGCCCATCCAACAAGAAACTCGTTAGACTACAATGGGTAAAAATASTAGTTTTATAATCACTTCGTCACCAAACCTCAACAATGAACTCAGGTTGACTGTTAAGACACAACAAATCTTTGCAAATGGTGTCGAAGACCTATTCCACCTGAGATGGAACACGGGGCTGTATTGTTGGCCAGCAAGTTCCCGCCCTATAGCTTGATGTATTGTAGAAAGACCTAAGAGTTTTGTGGTTTCATTTTTACAGTATTATTTAAATTCGCAGACATCCAGGCCAAGTTGGAGATCTGGTCATGTGTACATCTTTTTTCATAAAACATGTGCCTTGTTGTTTGCCAAATGCAAGGATTCCGATCCGACCCAAGTCACCAGCATGTAGACAAAGGGTCAGAAAGCGGAGAAAGAAAGCATGAATTTTTCAAAGTGTAATTCCATATCCTAAAATGACACCTGAAATATCACCTGAAAAAACTTGAAGCTAAGAAATGCAGGTGGACTGTATAGGTGTAGTAGATTTGCCTTTGTTTCGCTCTTATGGAGTTTAAACAGAAACTACACGATTAACTCTCAGTACAAACACTCTGTGCAGACGTTTTTAGTCCCAAAATATAATCAAGCAAGTTAAAATTGCCAGTTGTTAGTTTATTTAGAGCGGAGTTATTTCYACTGAAAGGTTGGAGTGTTGTCACGGCATGGGCAAAGAAAGCGTAAATGGAAATAAAAGTTTAGTAATTACATTATTAAAATTGGATGAATTCAGTGAARTTATTGGCTATATTTGTAAACATTGTGATGATTGGACCCATTGATGGAGACTCCTACTGCTTTAATTGATAATAGACCAGATACATCTAAACTAAAACCAAATTTTCCCACAATATTCCCCAACATGACATTGCCATTTTATACTGACGTGGAGCGGTTGAAACTCACACGATCAGTTTCTTGGGAGCACCTTTTCTSCAAGCCTCAAATACCACTTCAGTTATCAAATAGAAAAATAGATTCATTCTAATGAATTGTTATTTTTCATGAAAATCAAACATTAATTAGATTTGTGATCGAAATATAATAAAATAGAAAAATCTCGTCAATGTTTTTATAGAACTGCAGGACGCAGCCCCAAGCATTACACTTTTCCATGCATCTATGAATATTAATGACGTACTAAATATCCCTCGTTTTGCGATGTTTTTAGCCTTGTCTTTGCTTCGGTTTGAGGCCCTGTGCAGTRGAGGAGTCCCTTTGTTGTTTTAAGACCTTTTCTTTGCTTTAAGCTAATTTTCTCTCAAGAAATCCCCGCAGACCTATACACACAGAGAAATAATAGGAGCCATGTATGCCCAGAGGCTAAATCAAAACCATCTTTGTTATCTTGTGCAGTACAAAGAAAGAAAAGCAACTTTTGACGTGTGCCGATTTAAAAAGAAGCAGTTTTRACATTCAAAAAAGATTATAAAAACCTGTCTTTGATTTTTCATCCTTGCATCATTTCAAAAAAGACTAATAATAACTCAGACAGAGGATATTTCCACAGCACGCTGCTGACAAAAAGGTAGAATTGATGATGACACTTAGACTAAACCTTTTTACTGACAGTCTTTGCCAATAAAGAGTTTATAGACAGCGTGATAGACGCTTTTTAAATTGTTTTTCCTGTCCGCAAAGTGATCTTATTGAGGTCTCTGCGTTTTAAAGAGGGACGCTACGCTGAAGCATCGGCAGTGATCTCTCCACGTAGCGCTTACAAAAGCCACATGCCTTGATCTAGCGTAATGCAAGATGCAGCAATCAGCCTAAATTGGCTCTAAGCGTGGCCGAAATGTCATAATCCCACGTGTGCTTATTTTGATGTGCGCTTGGAACTGACACAAGTAATTATTTTCATCAAAGGGCTATTTATTCGCCACTCCATCGGCCCTTGTGTTCCACACTTACTAGTGACTAGGGAAATAATGGCCAGAACAAAGAGGGGTCTTTTTGCCTTCCCAATAGCAGCATAGTCATTATGCAAAATCATTTTCGCACACATGTGGCTGGCACAGTTTAACATTTTTGTGTGGAAAAGAAGGGACATTTCCTCATATTACTCACTAAAGGGACATAGATATTAGGAGAAAGGGTGCTAAGTCTYTACCCCTTTGGTACACACCCACAGGACTATTTGTTGCTATCGTATGATCAGGGCAGAAAATATCATTTAGTGGAATARAATGGATGTTTATTGTTATTCACAGTAATTACACCATCGTGCAGATGTGKCCGCACGAATATGGTTGGTCTACATGGCTCGATGTAGTTTATCATAATGGCAGTTTGTATCTCTCACGTCCCAAACTAGGACGTCTTATAAATATTTGAAAAATTCCTGAAATATTAAAAGAAAACGGCTTGATCGATTCCTTTTTGATTTGACCAAACAAGTCGTACTTCGTCCTGTCAAGAAATCCCCTTTAAACGGACGCATCCTTCTGCAAAGTCTAGGAGATCGCTGAGAATGCGTCGCCAAATAGAACACAGATCTTGTGTATTTTAGTAGATCCGTGTCATAAAGCTGTTAAAAGTAACAGGTATTGACAAAATAATCTCTGTAAGGACGTGCAAAACACGTTAGTGTTGTTGTAGTTATTCTGTTTGTTGATTTTAACAGTAGTRTCACGATCGYGTATCGTGAAGCCTACAGAAATAGTAAAAACTAGCGTTAAATCATGCTAAGTTTCTATGTGAGCCTGGTGGGAGGCAGGAGGGGCCGTGTACGGATAGCCTGGGCAGGCAACGTATTTAAAAAAAACACTGCCATTGTTCATTTGATTTCTAATCACACGAGACGTCAGCGTCGATTACTTGCYCGTAAAAAGCAAAGAAGCCATCGAACAGCCTGATATGCGCATGCGCAGCTCGTTGGTTTCATCACAATTGACAAGAGTATAGAAGAATTTAAARATTTAAATATCTTAAAATAGCCGTTTTATAAAATGCACCTAGAAATTCTCCCTSCCCCTCAAGGATTACTTATAGACGCTTGTCACTTGATTACTTTTTGAAAGGACACATTATAATGCAGGTAGATTTTCTCTTAAAATGCTATTGATTACTCTGTATTGTCACCAGGGCTGTGTTCTTCTCTAGAATTATTACGAACAAAACTAATGAGATTAATCTGTTGATCTGGTTGGTCAGTTCGATACCATTAAATATGGTAAAACTATTTACRAGATTTTTAAAACGTCGTGCAAGTGCGATAAAATCTCAATGAATCTCCAATTAAAACGAGAGGTAATTTCAAGAAGTCGTGTTGACTTTGTTGGGGTTATCATTCTCGCATAATTTGTTGATATTAGCATGGTCGAGGTGACTGAAGGTATTGTTTGGGAATCCTTTAAAAGGCAGATGGGGTGGTCAACCCGACACACTACCACCAACGACTTCACAAATCAACTTCAGCTCCTGAAAAAGGTATGAAGCGTACTCTAGATGTACGACTATCACTTTAAAACATTTTCTTTAATGCTWTATATTTTTTCGGTTTAGGGCTAAAAATTATTATTTAGTATTGTTGAGATAAGAGGGAGTTAGTATGCCGAAGTATAGGAATCGATAACCGCATTTTTTTGTACTTACGTTATTTTGATAATTTCTGGCTGGTTAACGAGTACTGATTTTCTTCTCAATTTATGCTTTAAGGATTTTTATGATAACAAACTTTCATTCACTTTGGAAAATATTTAGTTCTGCCGATTTGTGTAATTTAGAAGGATATAAAACACACCAGGTCACGCCGACTTTATAGGAAAAGGCTTAGTATATAGCACGGTGCGGTTAGCAAGTGTAAAAGAGATCCATTCATGCTCTGTCATACTAGACATTATAAACTACAAAAGTACAATATATATTGTTGTTTTCCGTTTATAATTTTTACAAGTCCTACTGCTTCTATAATATGATTATTGCGCTATTTTTTTCGGAAGTGGAAACGGAACTGAGGAATTTTCAAAAGGACATTAGACAWATAGTGATTTTTTTCTGCGTAATTAATGGTTTATGATTACTGTAATGTTATGTGAGAAAGTTTTATTCCCCTTAACGACTCCTAGCAGTCACCTCTTGTGATCGTACCTAAGACAAAACCGTCTGAAGAGCTCGCCTTAATGAGTTTAAAGAGAAACTGAAGACTCTTTTTCTGGGTGTGTGGGAACTTACTTATTCATTGAGCATACTGAGAACACATTGAAAACACACTAGATTTAATCTTACATTCCACTTAAAATGGTTCCAAATAATAATGCTGGATGTAAAATGAAATGAAGAAAGACTCTAGATTAGAATATCTGATCGGATTATCTCAGCACTGCATTGATCTTTTTTGTCTTTTTCTATTTTACAGTTAACACGTGCTTTAACGATATGAATAATCAAGTGCTTTGCCCACGAATTGATGAGGACCATCTCGATAAAATATACGCTGAACAATCAAACGGTTTCCCTTGGTCACTTTTTGAAGATAATCAATCAGAAAAAGAACAAGAAATAGCAAAATCCGCACGACGGAACAAAGTCACAGTTTCACAAACCGTGCGAAGGCACAGACAACTCAGACGAAATGCAAGGGAACGAGAACGACAGGGAAGACTGAACAGCGCTTTTGATGTACTGCGAGGTGTTATTCCGGACTACCTTTCAGGAAAAGGACCCGAACGAAAGTTGACACAAATAGAGACACTTCGACTGGCGACGCACTACATTCTAGCGCTCACTGAAATGCTTGAAGAAGAAAATCAGAAACCCGCAGAATACTGTGAATGCGGGCTCGCCTTTTCCGTTCGATCTTGCAATAGTGAAAATAGCAAATGAAAATTTAACAATTTAAATTTGACTCTAGAAATATATAAAGATATAGTTTTAAATCCACATGATATTGATGTATTATAACCAAAGAAAGCTCAAGTATTCATTAACATCCATGTTTATATTTTGAAATCAATTTTATATTAAAAGCCAGTTGTCAAGAGAGGTGATGTCAAAGTTAATGTTTGCCTTTATTCGTAGACAGTTCCTGTCTTTACTTAACAAAAGATCGATTCTTTTCTACCCTGTTAGTTTTTATTGCACAACAATGATGATATTTACTCTTCATGCGCACGTTAGCTCAAGTTAGTTTTGCTAAAAAACAACGGCTGAAGAGCTTCACTAATCACCCTCTAATCATTACTGCTTTTGTAAACATCATAATTTGTATGGCATTTGTTTCCACACAAACACGWAGGTTTGTTGAATTCAAAGAATGACTGAATTATTAGTTTCGTTTAAAGTGTGCTCCAAGCAGTAAACAATGATTATTAACAGGTGGCTTAAATATTTAGATTCCGGACAGCATGGCCCRTCTTCAGGCTCGTACCTGGACTACAAATCCTCAAATACCTGCTAAATTTGTYAAACCTCTAAGCACGAGCTCGCTAATGTTCTTTCTGTTTTGCTCTTTGGTTTCCTGGATTATTTGCAATTAGGTGAGATTTTCTCTATTGTATGGAAAACATGAAAGACTATTGAAAGCCGGAAAGAAAGGTTTAAAGTTAGTTCCCAGGTGGTCAATCTCTCGAAATGTAACATATTCTACTCAGTGGAGCTATGCGACTGACGTACGGACATTTTTTTAGCCTTTTGTGTAATTTTTAGATTCTTRGCATTAGGAAAGACAAAAACATTGAAATTTATTTACTTTTTCGTTCTTAACAAAGAAATATGAAACCGTACAACGTGTTCTAAAGCATCCTATGAATATAATCAGTGTTAGATTTTCGTATTTTTTTTGGATCATTTAATGATTTCTTTCAAGTTTGTAACTTTTGTAAATTAGTAGCATTTTCACACGTTCGTCGCCTGATTGTGTTTCAATAGCGAAAAAAGACTTCAAATCAAAGCTCACTAGTCAAAASGAAACAATGCGAATAAACAATGACGCCAAKATGATAAAACTAGAAAATAATTAAAAACTGCTGTGCTAGCTAGTGGCACGAAAAATCCCAAACCACACCCTCTGAGGAAATAGGTGAGCTTATAATGTGAAAAAGACCTTGATGAAGAATAAAGTTTTTTTTGACTGCGAAAAGTTGACAAATTGTTGTCTTTCTGCTTAGAAGTAGTGGTTGACCTTTTGTCCAATTGTCTATTGTAGAAGTGTTCCTGTCGTGTCATGATCAGCTAATTAGATGGCAGTTCATCATTTTTAGCGGTAGCTGAGTTAAGATACATTTTTTCTCACAAAAAAGTCAAAGAACTGTGAATCGCCATGACGCGTGCTGTTCAGTTTAGTTGGCGTAGATTTTTTCACACAGCGCGTGAAAGCACTTAATAATAAGAACAGGGAAATCATTATGTACTCCCCATGATCGCTTGATACAAAGCAATTACCATTTATAAAGCCAATGGCCTTCTTATGCATCATATATACAATTGGAAAAAAAGAAAAGCATTCGAAGAAGTTCTRCCATAAGTTATAACGTTTTCTATAAAGTGTAACGTATTTTTACCGTTTATTCTTGTCAATATTGTGGAAACTAGCGGTAAACTAGTGTGAGCTGCGTCGGTGTTTCTAAAGAAACAGTTGTGTAAAAAGAAAAACTTAACACCGTAAAAAAGTAGGAGAAAAAACTTACTGACGTTTCGGACGTTAATCGCCTTCGTCAGAGTAAAGAGACAATTATTTGTCAATATGCATTATGTTTCGTTATATATCAATTCTAACTAAAGCTGTTATTCTGGGGAGACTACTGTGTTCCAGTTTTTTTATCATTTGTGTTTATCAAAGAAGTACATCAGACCAGCTTGCCCACAGTGGGCCACACGATGCACAATCAAAATAACTTAATTTTGGAGCCTGATGTGTCACGTCTGTTTCAAGGGACTTTGCCTTCTTTTTGAAGTCTTTGAATAGTTGAATGACGTAACCAAAGCATAATGATATTATCGTGCCGCTATTGTAAAAAATACAATTGAATTGAACACATATTGACTTTTAAAGTCCAGTCAGTTTCACAATTTAAGTGGCTATGTATAATTTGTGTCAACAATATTTTAATGGTCTGTGATCACACGTGAGGTAGAAATTGGCAAAATTACCGGTCGGTTCGCAGGTACACGAAGTAAAAAAGGTGTAGCGCATGACCAGTCAGTTTAGAACATTATTATCTCTCAAGATGCACGTGGACGAAAACGAGCAAGTTTCTTTTAACCGCATCGCTTTAAAAACAGGAATATACAATAGAAACATGCAATTACGTAATTCTGTGATATCCGGTAAAATGTGCGTATTACTGTCAAAATTGGAGCCACTCTGCCAAGCAAACTTGTAGTTTATTCAGTACTGTTTAGTGTTGTCGTACTACAAGACTAAAAGAAATTAGTTGTCATTGTTTAAAGTTAATGGGTTTGAAGAYTTCGYGCCTTGTTATTTGCCGATTTAAATARCCGGTCAACTATAAAACTGAAATRAAAAGAAAGAACGCGGTAAAGGATAAAAAGTTAAATTTCTGGCTATGCTTTTTAGTACTGTAAATTAAATGCATCAATGTTAATATCATGAAATAATAATCTCGATCAATATAAAATTAAAGTAGAAAGTGTGCGGAACGTATTTCGCAATCTTTTCTTGCATGAGGTTTCAAGTCCAAGCCATTTAATGATCCACTTTTCAAGTAGTTTGTTTAAATTGCCTCCCGTTAGCAGAAACTGACACCAGCAAATGTACTTGAAACATTCTTTACCTAGTCTCCTACWCTGAGACCTGATGAGCGGCACACCCCCTGTTACCTCGGCTACAAGACTTTCTTGAAATGAGCAACAGTAACTTGTCACTTTTTACTGTTTGCAATAAGTGTTGGGCGTGACATTAAATAATAAACATTTCTTTGTTTACTTAAATGCTTGGAGAAACCATTACATTGAATCGGAATTCTAAGAAATGTCAGAAAAAACACTAGCTAGTCAATTAACATTATCCTATCAAAACACTACAGAAAAGGCAAACTATTGACTTAATTACATTATACCGATACTGACCTGTCATAGCAGCACATGGACACCTTTATGTGTTTTGCATGGTTTATTGCAGTAAGAAAGAGCAATTAACGCAGCTGATTCAAATGTAGTCAATCATGCGGCAGCATGCACACATGCATCGTCATGCGCCTACGTGGGAGACCATCTTCTTTTTGGCAGTGGAAAAAAACAGATCAAAATGACAGATCTGTATGCAAATTCTTTCGAGAAGTTTTGTGTTATACCTAATGTAGTCCTGGAGTAAAATTGGACCACGTTATTGTAGCGATTCAACTCTGAGAGTAGCAGAAAACTAGAATTTTGACTGTGAGCTGAATTTATAGAAAGGGGAGTGAACCCTGACTGAAAAGTAAACTTAGCTGAACACTGTAACCATTTCTTGATACCAAACAAAGACAACATAGGAACATAGGAATTCAAGACTGCGGTCTGCTGATGCGCGCGGAGCCATTGTATCGAAAAACTAGCGAAATTTTAGCGCTGTTTACTAAAATGAAAGAAGAAACAATACTAAAATTCATGAATTGTGTTTCAAGTGACGGATTCAGTGCAGAAGTCTCGAYTTTTTAAGTCAACTAATATTGTTGTTATTTTATTCTGAACAAAATGCTGGGGAATTAATAAAGGCAAACATTGAATCGTCGCATCCCACCCGAACTGGGTACCCTGTGCTCTTTTGGCCACGTCTTCCAAGATGGCGGACACCGATTCACTACAACAGAGCAATCCTCTATCAAGAAAATTAAATAAAATCTTGGAAACACGTCTTGACAATGACAAGGTAATATAATAAAGTTTATTAGATCTTTTTGCATCTGAAGTTAATCGATGATTATTGGTTTGTACTATGCGTTTCTCTTTATTTTAGGAAATTGTCGAGGCTCTTCGAGCTCTGTCAACTTTCTTCAGTGATAATAGTCTTCGTTCAAGGCGAAACCTCAGAGGAAATATCGAGAAACGAAGTTTATTGATAAGTGAACAATTCGAGAGTGCATTTAGGAATGTTAAAGAGGTAATTACTTTGACCCAACACCTCAGACAAGCTTTGGTTATTAAGCTTATTTTATGTATTTTTTGTTTGTTAAGACATGRAATTATTCATAAACTACAATTTTTTATATTTGTTATTTTTATCTTCAGCAACTTGATGCTGTACACCAAGAAATTACAGATATGAATAATTGTTGCCAGGAAATGACGAGCAGACTAAAGGTAAGTTATTAGATAGATAACAAATTGAAAAGAGATAGTTTTATCATCTTAAGAATTATCTCCTTATACTCTCCGTCTTATTTAGTCTGCAAGGGATCAAACTTCTGATTTAATCAGTAGTACCACCAAGCTCCAGGCTGAGAGGTATTATAATGTAATTTGTTAAATGGGTACAGAAAAAAAATAAATGTATTTAAAAATATTATTCAGTCACAGAATTCAAATGAAAGAAAAAGTAGCCAGTGCTTTCCTATCAAGATTTCAGCTTCAGCCAGAAGAAGCCAAGCTATTGAGAGGACCAAGAAGTATTCCTGTAAATGAGGTAGATAATAATTTCTTTCATCATTTTGTATCATTTACAGCAGTCTAGTTTTATCTCACTATAAATTTGTTTTTGTTTTTCCAGAATTTTTTTGCAGCTTTGACAAGAGCAAAAGAAATCCATAATGATTGCCGAGTACTTTTGAGAACCAAACAGCAAACAGCAGGGTAATTCAGCCTGAATCAGTTGCAATTTAGACTAGAGCTAGACCTAATTCGAAGTTAGACTCCAAATCTCACCACTAGACTAATCTATGATAACAGAGTGTTTTGCATGTTTCACAGGCTTGAAACCATGGAGACCATGGCCTTGCATTTAGAAGCTGGTTATGAAAAGCTTTATCGCTGGACACAAGGTGAACATTTAGTAAAATTTTTCTGTTTATAAGTCATGGATTACCTTCCTCCACAGGTGTACTTCCATGGTTTTTGTATTTTTGTGGTTTGGGCTTCCTGTTTTATGATATTACCATAAAAGCATCATGTGGAGGATGCTAGTAATGAGTAGTAATTACTATGACCATAGTTGTCCATCTCATAGATGTACATTTATGTTTGACTCTATAGATGAATGTAGAGGATTAACAGGTGATTTACCTGAGATATCAAAAACATTAAGTAAAGCAATGGAATCATTACAAGATAGGCCTGTGCTGTATCAGTGAGTATATATAATACTGGTAYACTCTGACATTGTACCATTTATAATAGTTTCTTTGCTTTTTCTAGGTATTGTTTAGATGAGTATGGCACRGCAAGACGGACGGCTGTTGTCAGGTGTTTTGTGGATGCGCTGACAAGAGGTGGTAAGTTGAAAGATGTTTGAAATCATCATAAMTCTGGATGCAATAAGGGGCATATAGTACATGCATTGACYGCTGTAATGTAGTAAGAATGCTACATTGTTTGACCATGAAGCAATAATAATTTWCAGCATTGATATGTGTTTAAGGACCAAGTGGRACACCTAGGCCGATTGAACTACACTCYCATGACCCTATCAGGTAGAATACTGCATACCTTGAACATACTTTGCATGCTTTGAATCTTCATGTCATTTCCATTTTTCTATTCTTCCTTTCATTGCTTTATTCACTGTCAATTCAAAGGTCGATATTTTCATTCACTTCCTTTTTTAACWTCTTTTAATATTATTTTCAGATATGTTGGAGATATGCTTGCATGGTTGCAYCAAGCCATTGCATCAGAGAAAGAAATGCTCCTTTTACTATTGGACAGATCTTGTAAGTCAATGGATGCATCAAGGATTTAATAATGTCARCTATATTATAAAATAGTGTACATGCTGATAACATCATAACACCTATCTGTCTTAGATTACTCATGGATTGGCAGATTGATTGACCTCGACTTTGATTGATTGATTTCTGATTGTTCATGAATGCTTTAAAATGTMTATTTTTCTGTCTTAGCTTCTAAAACTCATGCATCTGGTGACAAGGAAAAAGAAAAGGCTGTTTTAAGCCACATTACTGAAGGTGTTTGCAGGCCATTTAAGGTAAACTTCATGTTCTACTTACTTAGTTAATTTTGGGGTCCATTTGATTGAATGTGCACTGTCTTGACTCTWAATTCAAAATCTTCAATGGTTTTATTTTTCTAGGTTCGAGTTGAGCAAGTTATTGTATCAGAACCAGGCGCTGTAACATTATTTAGCTTGTCAAATGTGCTTAAATTTTATGGCATGACAATTGGGTGGGTACCTTGCTGTAGTTTATCATCTTGAACTTTCTTACACCCAAAGCATCTTGATATGGATATGTGGATAAAGTGATTGATAGATTGTTGTTTTTTTCTAGTGGAATTTTAGGTGAAGAAGCAGCTGTTATCATTACCATACAAGAAATGAATGAATTGGGAACTAAAATGTTTTTCAATAGTCTCAGCTGTCATTCTGGGAAATTATTAGAAAAGGTGAGAACTTTTACTGATCTTCCAGTAARTATCACTTAGTGTTGACATGAATTTCTTTGATTGCAGATTGAGCTGCCTCCCCCTGATCTCGGACCCACTGAATCTCTAAAGGATACACTCAGTCTTTTACAGTCTGTTTTGACTTCCCATGATGCATCAGTTGTCCTTCTKGATGCTCGTCAAACTGACTACAGCAGAGTAAGTTGCCCGGATGTGTTTTTAACAACTAAATGTAACTATTATGCTGACTCACAAAATCCATATTATTCTTTTCTTAATGGCAGACTCTCATTCACCTTACTATTTTGCCCAACTAAAACCAATGCGTTTCTCTGTGTATCGTTTTCTTTTTAGATAATCTCATGTCTTGTGGAACCTGCTTTACAAATGTGTGTAATGTCAGCAAGTCATCTCAATGCTGCTGACATGGCTGCGTACATGATCAACTGCATCCACCAAATACACACAACACTTGCTGTTTATGAATTTACTGATAAACACTTGGAGATGTTGGCTGCACAGGTAATCACARCGATTAATGATTAYACATAGACTGGCTTACTCTTACTAAACGTCGAAGATTAAAGGCCCATTATCACCCTAGATGCTTTGCGCACCTCGTCATAATTTTGTGCTACACTTGCGGAGCTTTCAATGAAGCAAGAAACAAAACGCGCGTAAATCATCACAAGCAAAGCATAACGTCTCACATGTGTATTTTTCGTGTGATATACGGCGTTTGAAGTGACCTAAAGCTAGTTTTCGCAGTCTTAATGGTATTCATTTTGCAGATGGACGCACATATTGATACACTTATAAGCGAACAGGCCTCCTTCATCCTGGCGCGTAGTGGACTTGGAAACATCTACAGGGTTTACCAAGAACATAAAATGCAAAAGGTGAAACGTACTTAAAAGTCAAAAATATATCTTGATTGTTTACTAAATGAAAGTCTTCTTTTCGCTAGGTCCCAATGTCGTCTGTCCATGGACTTGATCCACAGACAACCAAGGCAGCTATGGTAAGTCCAGAACACATTAAGTTTGACAAAAATGTATAACGATCCATAACTCTGACGGGTTGCAGGTTTGGCTTTAAGAAATATTTTTTCTTGCAAGAGGTAACGCGCGCTAGTTAATATGACATGAAAGCCACTTAAACTTTTTTAAAGCAGAAACTGAGGATTGCAATTCATTCACAGGGAAAGTTTGATAGCTACCTGTCTTCACCTGACAGTCTTCGCATGCCTCAATGTGAACTGTTAAGAACGACACGATTAAGGTAATGACGATTGCAAATTAGTCGGGATATAGAATTATTATCGTGAATCAAGAGAATGGTGCGCAGAACGTGTAAAAAAACGCCTACGTAGACTTCAATGATTTCTTGTTTCATCGTGTCTCGAGATGTGGTACTCTGAAGGAAATCAACTTCTAGTTGGTAGTGCATGGCGGGTATTTTAAACTAATAAAAGTACTGCTCATCTCGGAATACAGTGCAAGCTACCGTACGAACGCAATAAACTAAGTCAACAATATATTGATATTACATCTATGTTCTGTTTTAGGGACACTGTACACAAGCGAGCCGTTGATGCAGTATG